AGGGGCCCAAAACCGTTTCACATCTTGGCCTCAAAGGCCAAAAAGTTCAACATCTTGCGCCTCAAAGCGCCCAAAAGTTCACATCTTGGCCACAGAGGCCCGAAAATTTCACGCAATTGGCCACAGAGGCCCGGAAAATTCACAATTTGGCCACTTAAAGTGCCCAGAAACTCACCATTTTGGCCTCTAAGGCCCAAAAATCCCAATTTGGCCCTAAAAATTTCCCCATCATTGGCCCCTAGAGGCCCAAAATTCACATTGTTTGGCCTCAAAGGCCCAAAAAAAAAAAAAATTTTTTTTTTGAAGAACTTAGGCCTTTCGAAAAGTCGAGTGTCCCAGCCCTAAGGCACTCTTACCTTACCATATCACATCCCATTGGGTCCTATCCTACGGTGTCCTAGCCATACAACATTACTCTACCCTCAACACTGTCTCACATACCCTTATAAAACCCTTATATAGGATAGTCTAATCATTTGACATATGTCCTTTCACAGGTACCCCTCTAAAGGACCACCCGACCCGAAACACCAACTGAGCTCTCACCCATAAGGTCCAACAACCCCAACCGCACCAAATGGCATCACTTCAACCGACATCCAAACCTCATTGAACAACTGGGAAGCCAGAATGGAGGCTAGAATGAATGAGGCATTTGGCTGCCCATGAGGACTAGCCTTAATAGCTGAGACTAAGGTGGTGATAATTGGAAATGGGGCTTCCCGTTGGGGGAAGTAGACCTTGGCTTACCTCCAATCAGGGTCCTGCTGCTGACCGGACAAAACCCTTGGCCTTTAACCTGGATGACATTGCCCTCCATAACTGCTTTCTGAGCTGGAAAGCTTCAGAAAATTGAGAGAAAAAATTGGAACTGTTGGGAACAGGTCTATTTACTGCCCTCAAGACACAACAGGAGTGGTGGACATGGACTCCTTGTCCTTTGTTCCCCCGGAAACGCAAGACTTGCCAACATAAGTTCAAGATGCCCAACATGGACAAGTTTGATGGAACCAACTTGTCCCAAAACACACCTGAAAAATGTATGTGATGTATGTGGGTGCCCTTAACCCGTTCGGACTGAACAGTGAGCTCCTTGCTCAGTTGTTTCAGCAATCTTTGACTGGTGCTGCATTAAGATGGTTTGTCAGCTTGGATCATTCCAAAATGAAGAATTGGGAGGACATATGCAATGCTTTCAACACGCAGTACCATTATAATATCGAAGTGGATATTACTCGGAGGGAGCTGGAAACCACTAAACAAAAGAACAATGAGCCCTTTCTCCTCGTTCCTTTCGAGGTGGAGAGCCAAAGCCGCTCAAATGATCAACCGACCCTCTGAACAGGAACAAGTTGACATAATAATCAAGAATTCTGCCTGTCTTACCAGTCACAACTTCAAACACAGTACTTGCCTACGTTCCAATCGCTCAATTGCGACGCAACTAAAGTGGAAGGCTTAATCCAGTTGGGGTCGGCTCAAAGAAGACTCATACAAGAAGCAGAATCATGATGGGTCCAAGGTGAGGGACAAATGGAAATAGCAGTTAATCCCCACGATCCTTTACGTGTTGGGAATTTTTGGGACGGAAACAATCAGCCAAGGAGGCAATATACTGATTCTCGGATGTCCAATTCCTTTTTGGCTGTTTCGAAAGGCAGTGAAAGCAAATTACTTGAAGCCCCTTTAGAAAGCAAGGCCATTACCGAAACCCCCTTGGGCCTTTCGGAATTCAAAGCCAAATTCGGAATTTCAAAGCCAATGAATACTGTGAGTACCATCAAGGACATGGGCATAAGACCGAATCATGCTGGACTTTGAAAAATCGTCTACAAGACGTGGTTGACAATGGGTCCATCATCCCCAAGAGCAAGCTGAATATCAACCAATCCCTTGCCTAACCATGGGATCAATGCAAAAAAAAAAAAACAAAAAACAAATTGCTGAGCAAGAATCGTTCGATCTTTTCGAACTTTGCTTAGAAATGAATGAAGTTTGTGTCTGAGAAGGTCGAGATCAAACCTCCAAAAGAACAAAGGAATTGTTGACCTAAACACAACCTGTCTTGATCGATTTAAGCATCGAGAAGAAAAAGGGAAACTACAGTCAACCCAATCTAAGTCCAATCACAGTCCACTTAGAGTCTATCCTTAGGGTCTAGGTTTTTTCTTTTCATTCATTTCTATTTCAAAATTTTCATTTGTAAATCTAAGTGTTCTTTTTGTACACAAATTGTTGTCTTATCAATTAAAAATGGGATCAAGTTTATATTTCCAATCATGCTTTATACTCTTTCTCTATTCCTTTCCTGTGAAAGCACAAAAAAAAAAAAAAAAAGAAAAAAAATTACTGAAAAAAATTAAAAAAAAAAAAAAGAATTGATGATAAAAAAAAAAAAAAAAAAATTGAAAAAAAAAAATGATGATAAAAAAAATTGGCAAAGAAAAATGCATTCATTTGCTCTGCGTCAATCAAAGTTGGGGGCATCCTAAGAAGCACCATTAAAGGGGAAGTTTTAAAGGGTAATCATGGAAAGGATCCAGCAAAGGGTACTCAAGACTTCAAACAGTACCAAGGCAAAGCCGATTGAAGGGGTTAAGGCCAGAATGGTTTCTCCGAAAACCCAAGAATGAAAGATGCTCCGACAGAGACGTGTCTGAATTTTGAGCTTAAAAGCGACATAATAAAGAAGTTATGTTTGGAATTGGGTTGGGTCTGCACGAAGTCGCAATGCTATCCATACATCTCAAATCATCTCAGAATCAATTGCCTCGAGAATTCTTTATGTGAGGCTGGCTTCTACGCAAGCAAAAGGAAAAAAACAGGACGAGCAGGAACCCCTGGTCAAAAGGGAAGCAAACAAGCAAAAAGAAAAAAAATAGAGTGAAAAGGAACTTCTTGCACAAAAGAAAGAAATCAAAGGACAAAGCTACAGGAAAATCAAGTTTGTCAAAAACGGGGTCAACTGCAAGCTCTCCCGTTTTAAATTCAAGCCCACAAGGGTAGATGACAAATCATTTCAGCCATTAAGGACCAAAGACCAAGCGGCTGCGTCGACATTTTTTAAAATAGCAAGTTTAAAAGAAGCAGTCATTTCCAACAAATTTGGATGACAACAAACACCTTGAAAATCAAGCGCCAAGCATGGCACAAGTACAAGTGTCCTTTATAAACCAAGGACCCCATTTCTCAAAACAAGGAAAGGGAAGAGTCTCTCAAAATTCCTTATTGGCAGAGGAGACACCATTGAGGAAATAAGTTTTCAACATTCAGAGGAAGATAAAGTTCAAGGAAAAAAGAAATCAAATTGACGTCAAGAATTCCAAAAATCGAAGCCACAAGCTTCAAAGCATAAAAGCTTCCTTCAACACTCAAGCCACTCAAGTTACACCACAATGTGGGTATTTCAAAAAACTCTTTTGATGAATACAAGTCATATTTTAGTCAACCAGTGGTAAAACCACACAACAACAAAGTAGATTCGCCTAGGGTCATCTCTATCATACGAGCTCGATGTCAATAAGTCTGATTCAACAACACAAAGTTGGGAATGAATCTCGTAAAGACATCCAAACCGGGAAGAATACCGCCGACGAAAATCAAGCCAGAAATGAATTCTGCCATCCAACATCAAGTCGGAATGAATCTCGCAAAGACCTAAAGCGGGAAGAATCCCGCGGACGAAATCAAGCCAGAAATGAATTTCTGCATCCAACCATCCAAGTCAAGGGAATGACATCTCGCATTCAAAGACCTCAAAAGCCGGGAAAGGATCCCGCGACGAAAATCAAGCCCAGAAATTGGAATTCTGCATCAACACTCAGCCGGGAAGAATCCCGCAAAGACATTCAAGCGGGAAGGAATCCCGCGAAGAAATCAAGTCAGAAATAAATTCTGCAATCAACATCAAGTCGGGAAAGAATCCCGCAAAGACATCAAGCGGAAAGGAATCCCGCGAAAGAAATCAAGGCAGAAATAAATTCATGCATCAACATCAAGTCGGGAATGGAATCTCGCATAAGACATCAAAGCCGGAAGCGAATCCCGCGAAGAAATCAAGTCAGAAATAAATTCTGCATCAACATCAAGTCGGGAAAGGATTCCCGCAAAGACATCAAGCCGGGAAGAATCACGTGAAGAAAAATCAAGTCAGAAAAATGAACTCTGCATCAACATCAGTCGGGAAGGAATCCCGCCCAAAGACATGCAAGCCGGGAAGGAAATCCCGAAGAAATCAAGTCAAAATGAATTCTGATTAATATCAAGTCGAGGAAGGAATCCCGATAGAAATCAAATCGAAATGAAATTCCACAATCACATTAAAGTCGGAAATTGAATTTCCGCACACAACAGCAAGTCCGAGAAATAAATGCCGACCAAGACGGAAAGGAATTCCGCCACAACATCAAGACGGAGATGAAATTCCGCACCAGCCGAGCACGGAATTCGCATCCCGGAAAGAACTACCGAAAGACCTGATTCTCCCCCCCTATCCCCCCGAAGAGTTCTTGGAATACTTAGGCAGCCACAAAGCGCGCGTCACAAACATAAGTCTGCATCATAAAAAAGCATTTTTCTCTTTGCCAATAAAAAATATAATTAATAAAAATAATAAAAGAAAAAGAGTGAATATATATATTATATATATATTAAATATCTTGAGTCCGGAAAACCCGCGATATATGCCGGCTTCAGGCAAGAATTGAGCCCGTAGTTGTGAATACTCAAATTTGAGGCTCAAAGAGCCATTTTTTTTCGGACTTGCAAAACAGTCCGTCGGACCGGAGTCATTCAAAAAAGTTTCACCGGAAGGTTGCCAATATGTACTTGAAAAGGGGCCGAAAAAATTACGAGGATTCACCGGTATATTCTTTGTCTGCGGAATATTTTTTCCGAGAGATCCGAAACTCCCGGAAAAGCCCTCCGGAATAATAAAGGAGAAAAGCCCCACACGTTGCCCGCCCACGGGGGCGCCGGCCTGCCCGCCCAAGCCAGCGGGAATGCCCGCCTCGCATGGGCGGGCACACCCGCCAGCTTGGGCGGACACGCCCGCCCAGCAGGCGGGCAATACCCCCGCCCAAGCCAGTGCGGGCATGCCCGCCCAGCTTGGCGGACACGCCCGCCACGCTTGGGCGACACGCCCGCCCAGCATGCGGGCACGGCCCGCCCAGCTTGGGCGGACACCCGCCCCAGCTTGGGGGCCACCGCCGCCCAAGCCAGGCGGGCATTGCCCGCCCAGCTTGGCGGGAACACGCCCCTCCCAGAATGGGCGGGCACACCTGCCCAGCATTGGCGGACACGCCCGGCCCAGCATGGGCGGGCACCGCCCGCTCTCTTAGGCGGCATCGCCCGCCTCGAGGGTGGCAGGCGCGCCCGGGGTGCGTTTTTTCCTATTAAAAAGAGGCCCCGGGGCTCCATTTTACTCACTCAGTCTGTTGTTGACGGGACGCTCCTTCTCCCTACGCTCTTTGCGATTCCTTTTACTGCTTTCTTGCATTTTTTTAGTTTTAAATTTTATTTTATTGTTGTGATACCTGGCACTTAAATTAAATTTAAAATTAATTCCCTTAACGAGGAGCTTAACCTGGAGTTAGAAAGAAGGTGGTCGACGATAAATCAGTAGTAAACAAAAACTCTGCCGTTATTTAATTTAGCACTTTCATGCATGCTCTCTTTCTTAACTCCGCCTAAAATTCTATAACGCATAAATCATTCAATTCATCCACCAAGGCAAAATAATGGTCTTAAAATAAATAAATTAGCTTAAGTGCACCGGTTAATTAATAAATCGTGGATTAAAGCTTAAATTCGACAATATTGGCTTAAAAGCCTAGTTAATCAATAACTATGGTTGAAATGCCTTATTTCGAACAGTTTTTGCCTAAGTCTAATTAATCCAATAATTGTGACTAAAAGGCCCTGATTTAATACACTTTTTTCTTTTTATGGGCAATAAATTGCCTATATTTCAATTTAATTTAATCACATTTAGGCCCAAAACAAATTGACCTATAAGTGAGAATTGATTCTTTTCCAATAGCGACAAATCGCCTTCAAAGTAATATTTGGCGAAAAGCCTTTTAATTAATCACTTTAGGCAAACAAATTGCCTATAAGGTGAAATTGATTTCGTTCTCCATAGCGACAAACCGCTTAAATCAAAATTTGGGCTAAAAAGCCTTTTAATTAAATCACTTTGTAGGCAATAACAAATCGCCTATAAGTGAGATTAACTTTTTTGTTAGCGACAAATCGCTTAAATTAAATTTCTTTGGCTAACAAAAAGCCTAATCGAACATTTTTTTTTTGGCAAATAAACTGCCTTAAATCAATCCATTTAGGCGATAATCGCCCAATTAATATTCATTTGGCAAATTAAGTGCCTAAACCATATTTTTGGCTTTAAAAAGCCTTAAAAACAATTCGTTTTGGCACCAAATGCCTTAAAAAATCAATCTTTTGGCAAAAGAATAAGCCCCAAATTAAACTCCTTTTGGCTAAAAGCCTCAAAATCAACATTTTGGCACCCAAGTGGCCTAAATCAATCAGTCTTTTTGGCAAAAAGCCTAAACAAAAATGCACGGAGCATACACACACTCCATGCATAAGCATCCCATTCAAAGCCCTCTAAAAAGAGGCGTACGAACTACATCGACTTTGATCTTCCATTTCCCAAACGGAAGTACTAGGCACGTTTGGGATTAACCCCGAGCGGCAAGTCAAAATCACCATAAACCTTTTTATTTTGGGTCCAATCACTCGATCAATTTACCTTGCCCAAAGCATCTAAAGCATCCATTCATGGTTATGTTTATCAGCATGACATAGTCTCGGATCCATCGCGGGTTGTTGCAACACCATGCTTTAGACATTGGCGGTTAATAATTCTAGTAAACTAGGTTAATTAAAATGGAGCACTTAGGGTTCTTTGTTTTCCTAGGGTTTTACCCTGAACAAATTAAACACATGGTGGCGACTCACACAATTCACGTGCATTTTCTTCCTAGTTCACATGCCCCTTCATAGTGCACTTTTGATATTGGGGAGGGGTTTCACTAGGTTTGCGACTTCACTGGGAATGTTTATGTAATCTTTTTTTGCATAATAGTGGATCTACAAATGCAGCAATAGACTTTAACCTGC